TATATATATATATATATGCATGCTGATTAGTGTTAGTAATGAAAGCCCAACCTTAAATTAGCAGCACCTTCTCATTTACTTGTTTATTGATTGAAGTTAGGAGCAGAGGAGTGACTGATCGATAGAATATTAATAAGAAAATCTAGTCTGAATATTTTAATTAAATTTTGGGAAAATTTACATACATACCACCCAATTTCTATGTATTTACATATATATTACTTAAAATTTTAAGCTTTTTAATTTTTTAGCACTTTACATGTACTAGAATATGTATATTTAGACTTTTAAAAACTAGAAGGATAGTGATATTTTCTAATGTGATATAAAAAATATAAGTGTTATAAATATAAATATTTAAAAGTGTAGTGGTTGAGTGATATATTAACATTTTAGTGTTTTACAGTGAAGAGACATACACACAGATAAATGAAATAAACTGATAGAAAGGGACACCAAGAGTTTTTTATGTGAAAAACTTGAAAGAATAAAATCACGTGATCTAGCCGAATTGAAATGATTACACTATATTGGTATAGGTTAGACTTTACCGACCCTTGAATAACCAGATACAATATTAAACAAGTGGAGGTTGTCGATACGATTTCCGTTAGAGGAGTGGGGTGATATGTTGGGGAAGTGGCGGCGTCCTAGTTGTGGTTCAAAGATGGCGTCGTCGCTGATCCGGCAATGATCTAGTAGCAAGATCGCGATGGTTAGGAGGTAACGAAGGTGGTGATTTGACAACTGTGGTCTGGCTTCAGCACCGGCTAGAAAATGGCGATCTGATAGTGACGATAGTGGTGTCAAGCAGTGACGGTTTGGCGGTGGCGGTGGAGGCCAAATGATGATGGTCCAACTGTGATGATTGTGGTGGTAAGGCAGCTGTGCTCCAGCTATAAAAGCAGATGTGGTGTCAGTTAGACAATGGAGCTCCAACTTTGATGATGGTGGTGGTCGGGTAGCTTTGGTTTAGAGGTGGTTGTGACTAGACGGTAGTGGTTTGACAGTCACGATGGTGATGGCCAAGACGTAATGGTCTGGCGATGGCGACGACCGGAAGGTAGTGGTCGGGCAACAATGGTCCAAAGAGAATGATGGTTGTTGGGCAACAGTGGTTCAGCTGCGACAACAACCAGACGATAATGGTTCGACAACAGCAGCGATGGTTGCTAAGGAGTGGTAATCTGACGATTACAATAATGATGGTCGAGCAGTAGTGGTCCGCCGGCAGCGGTGACACGAGAACAGTGGTTTGGTAATGGAGCTTGAGAACCCTTTATAGCTTGAAGCTCCTTCAACCTTCTGCTATAGGTTTAGGTTCACTTTCATGAAAAGAGTGGGAGTCTTTTTATAAATTTTGTGAGTAACATGCTCCTTAAATATTGGATGAAACTGAAACACTCCGTCAAACGCCCTAATGTGATCCTTTGATTGTATGATATTTTATAAGTATTTAAGTGCTTTAAGGATATCAAAATTAAGTAATTGTAGGCTTGTTTGGTTTGTCTCGTTGAGACTCTCAATTTAAATATAATTTTTTCAGATTTTGAGATCATTTACTCCCCCAAAATATACCTCAAAGATCCTTACTATGCTGCAGGTGCATGCTCCGAGCTCACTTGGGCTCAAATCGAGCTATATTTGCTGTCAGCTAGCTTTTCTTGCCAAGAAGGTTCATGGGGCATAGGTAATTGAATGTTTGGAGCTCCCGTCTTAATGTACATCAAGATTCATGCACGATTAAAATATTTTTTTAGAGATATATCAATAAAAAGTAAAATTAATGCGTTTCGCATGGAAATTCATAGGAATTAGGTAGTATATATCTTATGTCTCTAATATTTATTGAGCATATTTTTTAAAAATTAAATTTAATTTACCATGAACATAACAACATAAACAATAATTAATCAATCAAATCTTAATACAAATTTGACAATAACAAATCAATTTTTAAACCATGATGATGTAGAGACCGACCAAAAAAAAAAATAAAAAAAATCGTTTACAAAAAATGTGTGCAGATAAGAAAATAAATGAACATGGCCTTATTGAGGTGGGATATGTACCATTCAACACATTCTAATCAATTCTATTAAATGGTCTTTGGTACTCACATGTCATGTGTGACAGTGTTATCATTTATCAAATGTAGTCCTCATGTACGAAGATGAAGATGGCCAGATTAAAGTTCTCTGCTTGGTCTCATTTTATTTATTTATTTATTTATTTATTTATCTATTTTTTTAAGTCAAATGAGATTTGAGAATGAACCTTATGCTGTGGGAGGAATTGCCCAATCCTCATCTTATTTTTAATTTATTTTAAAAAAAAATTAATATGAATAACTTGTATTTTCATGTGTTGATGATGAAGGCTGGGAAATCATAAAATTTGCATTTCCTAAACTTTAACTATAGACAATTGGACTTTGATTTTGAATAAAAAAAGTAAGAAACATCAGTATTTACTAAGACTTTATATATATATATTGTTGATATGTATTATGTTGTATAATTATGTGACATAAACAAGTGTTTTTTTTCTCATAAAAATTAATAAATTGTTATAAAAATGAGTTTAAAGTATCTTCTCTTCCATAAATTATTTTTTATTTAAATCGCATACTAACTATTAATTTCTAACATATTACAACTTATGAAATTAAAAAAGCCTTCCAAGAGACGCATAGATTTCTTTTTTCAATAACTATTTTCATACAAAAAGATATATATCAATAAGAAAAAAGAAAATTCAGCACCAGCTACAATTTTGAGTCATTAGCAAACCTGATTAGAGATTCAAATATTCATTTAAAAGTCAACATAAATCTAACCAAAAAATTTATTTCAGCCTCTCCTAGATGGCAGGATTAAAATACCCTTAAAATGGTGACATTTGGAGGTCAGTGTCGCCAATTAAAGCCCATCCTATAAATTCCATAATTTAAATTATATATTAATTTTAACATATACAAATATTTAAGAAATAAACTTTTTAGACCGAGCATCTAAACTTTCATATTTATATGCATAACAATCAAACTTCAAATATTACGTGAAAAATGCCACCATCACTTCGTAAAAGTGAAGATTATAGAACTTGTGTTGTATGTATTTAAATTAAATTAATTTTTTTTTAAAATATAAAAAAAGTCCACTCAAAACCAAAGGAAAATGACAGATTTATTTTGAAAGCATCCAATTCCAGAGTTCAATATGTTAGCTGATCACCAATTTAGCTCTCTACATGTAACCTTTATCATAGTATAAAAAAGGATATCCAACTCGCATGCCGAGAAATTTCATTGTTAGTATACTACACTATCGGACAGAAATTCCGTCAGCAAATTAATCCAGTAAAAAAAAAAAAAAAAACTTTAAAAAGTGCAAAATGGAATAACATTCTATTTAAAAAACAGGCTAATAAATTTTAGCATAAAATATAAAAAATTAAATTTTTTTTTAATTGAACAATTATAATTTTACTCATTTATCAAAACTAGTTAAAACTTAAGAAAAACTCATCAATATATTGTTCCATAATTTATTCAATGCAGTAATGAAAAAAGTGGGTAAATAATTTCCGTTCTTTGCCAAGCCGGTAGAATTGCAATAAAGAGGGCTTCTGCAGATTCAGCTGGTAAAAGCCAAAAATCATAATTTTTTCCATTCTTGCCATATAATAGATAATTTAAATATGAGTCTGCCTCCTATCCTTTAACCAGAGCTACTGCGCCGAAGTTGGTATATAAAAGAAACATTACCTTTTTACTTCCACTGGGCCGTTCTGCTTTACCTCGCCTGATAAATTTTACGGTCTCCAATTTATTAAATTTATATTACTCATTTTAATATAAAAAAAAAAAAAATCTAATTCTTGGGTCTAAGCGTTTAAAAAAAGCTTGCCAATTCCCACAGCTAAATGACAAAGTTACGGGAACCACCGAGCCCATTTCTGCCATTGACATACAAAGCAGACAATTCTTATGTATTTACATATCTAACGCCTAAATTTTTTATCTTTGACATCACATAAATTATAACATCAAATAAATTATTCCACGATTATCTATACCTTTTTTTTTTTTTTTTTTACTTATGTTTATAACAAAAGTGTTATAAATGTAAATATGAAAGTTTAAGCATTAGATATATAAATACGAAGGAATTGTATGGTATGTATGTAAATTTCCCAAATTTTTTTTTATAGAGTAGGAGACTAAGTTCGGATAACAGATTCCATTCAAATAATTAAAACAGTAATTATTTTGTTTCAGGTATGATGACTTCATGAAGTCAACACTAAGAGATAAGGGAGAGGTAAAAAGGGTACTGGAGATTGCATGGTATCAAACCTTTTTTTTGTCTGTTTGGTTAACCCATGGCATATTTCTGAGTCCAGCTCCTTGCAGTTGTCTCATATTTATTCCTATCCGTCTTGTACATGTGAGCAATTTCTGGAACTAGCGGATCTTCTGGATTTGGATCTGTCAACAATGAACAGATCGAAAGCAGGACCTGGGCGCATTCAACAAGTTTAATCAGTTGTTGATACGAAATCAGGACATTAGAAGAGAGTTTTGAGAGCTGAGAAATTTGGTGCTTCTGATAAACAATGGGGAAGATTAAGATAAATTAATGCTAGATCTGCCGCCTCAAAAAGGTTGGTATGAAGAGTGAACTGGTTCAAGATCCAGTTGTAATGTATGTGTTCAATGGGTGGAAGATTACATAAACGAACCGAACACGAACGAACAGAACTTGTTTTCGTGTTCAGTTCGTTTGAAATTTAGTTTGTTTGAGATAAGCTCGTGTTCGAAATTGTTCGTGAAGTCACTGTTCGTGTTCTGAATATAAGAAAATTTAAGCTAAGAGACGAACTTGAAGATAAATACGAAATTATATAATTTAATATAAGCTAAGAGGTGAACCTGGAGATCTGATTATAATTTATAAGATTTAATTTTTTAAAATATGATAAATTTTTAGAGTATATAATTATTTTTAAAAAATGATAATTTTTTATATATAATCATTTTAAATTATTTTATATTAGAAAAAAAAACGATTTGAATACGAACGAACACATCATTGTTCGTGTTTGGTTCATTTAACTAACCGAACGAAAAAAATTTGTTCACGTTCGTCTCGTTTACTTATGGAACGAATCGAACACGAACTCATTGACGAACCGAACACGAACTGTTCGCGAACAACGAGCTTTTTTGACAGACCTAATTTTGATGTTTGCTGCTTAAGTTTTGTGTTATGAATTATAATAGAAAATAATTTATTCATGTAAGTAGTTATGAGGAATAAATTATTTCTTTAGATTAAGGAAATATTTCTTTTCCTATTTTACAGTTATTTCTTGGATTAAAAATTATTTGTTTTCCTATTTTATGTTATTCCCTATATCTCCTAATATATAATATGAATTGATTATTGGAGATCTTAGGTGATATATTTTTCCTTTCATATCATTTACTTTTATTATTTTTCATATTATAGGATTTTATTATTTTTCATATTATAGGATTCTTGTAAGAGTTATTTATACCTTCGTTCATATCAATGAAATAATTAAGTATTCCGCATTATTCTGAATTTCAATATTTTGACGTTCGATAGCTTGTTTGGCATCACAACTGTTATATATTTTTAAATTATTTGACTATTTTGTTTCAATATTTGAACTTTGTAAGAGAAGAAATTTAGCTCCAACTAGGATTTATCAGTAGTAGAATTAGTAAATTTCTAAATCCGTGAATCGATCCATTCCTTAAATCCGTAAATCCACCCATCCCTTGGATTTAATAAATCCGAATTTAGGCCTGACTGAAGGAAAAATTGGATTTACTAAATAAATCTGAAAATTCGTAAATCCATGAAACTCCTGCATTTGACCGTTTGGCTGGATTTAGTACTGGATTTGATAAATCCTATTAAAAGCCTCTACCAGACAGTTCTTAAGAGAAGAAATTCTTAAACTATTAAACTAGTTTAATAAATCCTAGATTTAGCAGCTGGTGGGAGCAAAGGGAACTTATGAAAGCAGTAATCTTGCTTAAATCCAGACTAAAATAGGTTACCAAACAGCTTCTAAGCCACCTCTGAAAATTTTATCGATATTGGAAATATTTGGAAAACGTGGTATAGGACAATTGCCTCCCAACTCTCACCAAAATAAGCGAGGCAGTGCGATTCAGGTGGGCGTTCTCTTAATGTCTATGTGACACCAGGGCAGTTATAAGTCATGTGAGGGGACCTTAGACAGTCACATTAAATCTCCTGTCAAACTAGTTATGTCATGGATTGTATGAATTAATATCCTGCCTATTTTTCCAACGTAGTGCGGAGTTAATGAGGGGCAGGTAAAAGGACTTGAGGAGAAGATTATTCATCATAATCATGAGTTTGAACCAAACCATTTACGATTTATCATTCACCATTTTGTATAAATAAAAAATAAATAAAAAAAATAACATGCTTTTGTTAAACAAAAAAATTGCTTATAATAGGAAAATACAAAAAACATATGATTGATATTGTAATTCAGTCAACAGTTTTAAATTCTACAAATGAAACGCTAGTAGACTAGAATATCAAAAACCTTAGATATGGTCAATGCAGGGCTCCACTGCTCCTTCAGAATGTCGAGACAAATGCTTCCATTGCTATTGATATTTGGATGAAAGACTTTAGTTCTAAACACTACCTGCAAAATCGATATTTTTGCTCATTGAAATTAAAGGTTTTGAACATAGTCTTAGTCTTATGTGAAAGACAATAAAGAGAAATATGATGATTTATGCAATGACTGAACTTAGCAAAAGGCCCATCACCAGAAACAGTTTAACTTACAATAAAGAGAAATATGATAATTTGGTTCTGCGCTAAATTTCAATTTGCCGTTATGGAATGCTGCTCTAGGTTTTGATACATTTTTTTTGGACAAAACTATCCATACAACATTTGATCTAATATTCAACTTCCTAATCCTTTCATAATACTTTTTATCCATCCATAATTCTTAGTGTTTGTCCTGTTCATTGTTATACATGCCCAAACAAATTTTTTTTTAACAATATCTCATCTCAAAAAGAGCCACCACTGAAAAATATATAATATAATATATCCTAATTCTTACAATCACTTCCACAAATTAATCTGAACATTCTAATTTCAGTCGGACTTGGCCAGCAATGACTTTCTTCCTTGCTCAACACCTAAAACCATAAAATATCGGTGATCTAATCTCAGTTCCATCAGATTTACCATTACAACTCTATGGGGGTGTTGATAACACCAAAGATGAATCTGCTGTCAAGATTTCAAGACTTAAGCCACCATAACTACTTTTCAAAAAAAGAACTTGTACAGCTTCTTGTACAGCTTCTTGCTGTTTTCCCTCTCTACCGAGATCTATAAATAGGCACTTGTGTTATAACGTGTGGTGTAATAAAATCTTGTAACAGATTTTCTATCTGTTTCTCTTCTTCTTCCTCTAAAGTGATTTCAAGATCCGCTTGTATTCTATTCTTCTTATTCTCTGTTTCCTAGAGTGGATTGCTCGTCTCTGGCACAAGATCAAGATGTCGGAGCATTCAACCAATCAATCAATTCGGAACCGACTTCGAATCCCTTCAAACTTCAAGGTAATTCAGCGGGATTGTCATTGGTCTCTTCTCTGCATAGCAGCGAATACAAATCATCACGATTGATGCGTTGAAGATTCATCCTTATAGCGGTTTTAAATGTTTGGTAGGTGGAGGGAAGACGTTGTAGAGTATAATGGTTGATGTCTTCGGTGTCCAGTGACGATCCCTCCGCCGTGATAGCATCAACATTTGCCTTGAGGGTGGACAGATATTGCGTCATAGTTTACTCTTTTATGGTGAGATAGTGGAGTTTGTTCTGGAGTTGAATAACTCGAGAGTAGTTAGAGAATTAAAAGCAACATTCGAGCATGGAACAAATTTCTTTACGAAAATCAAGATTTAACACATGGCAAGAGGGAGAGAGATATGGACCATATTGTGACCATAACGTGTACTTGGGGGTCGGGTTGTATCAATCCATCCGATAGTATGATATGAGGTGAGGGGCAAACAATTGAATCATTAAGATGTCCATCAAACCCGTTGACCTTAAAAATCTTGAAGTATTTGAGATCGCCATATGGAGTGGTTTTCGGTGGTTAATTGAGTGCTGATGATGGATTGTATGATGTTCATAATAAATTTAGGTTGAGGGGGATGGAAATATGATATGATTCGAGACCAAAAATGACGAACAAACAATGAATGAATTGAAAAAGAGAGGCGGGGAAACTCCAACAAGAGCTATTTTACTAATACCAACGAAAACAAACAAGATACAACATTGATCTACTGTTCGAGAGGTAGATCATCTCTCTACAAATCATAGAAACAAGAAAAAATTACAGCAAACATAAGAAACAAACCCTAGATAATTGACCCTCCTAAATACTCTCCAAGACCCTTTTAAATATCCCCTAAAAACTTTCCTTATTTTTTTCTCCTCATGTAGGCGATTAGAGCCATGGTGGGAGCTGGAATTCTCCGTGGCTGCACCAGGAGTTTCCAACCTCTCCTGTTGAGCCAGTCGATGTATGGGTGAGGGGTGGATCGGTCGACTTTGTCCAGACTTGTCTTGCTTGGATCGGCGGCCTAACAAGCATAACAATACTCCCCTCCGAATGAAGCACCTTGTCCTCAAGGTGGAATGATGAAAAAAGCTTTTGGATCCCTTCATGAGGCTCTCACGCTGTTTCATAATCTAACAGATCTTTCCACTTCATAAGTACCTCCTTGCTCAAGCCACTCTCAGACACATTTTTTCGGCCTCTAAAGCTTCCAGAATCACATTCATGTCCTCTATCAATGTTGGAGGTAGTGAAGACGAGGGTGTATGATCTTCAATAGCCCACCTCAACTGCAAAACATGAAAGACTACATGTAGAGCTGATGATGGTGATAACCTTAAAATATATCCCACCGCCCCAAAACATGTCTTAATCTCATAGGGTCTGAAATATCATGGAGAAAGTTTCTCGCTCCTCTGCCTGGCCAATGTATTATGTCGATAGGGCCTCTGTTTCTAGTAAATCATGTCCCCGGGTTCAAATTATATCTTTTGGCTATGTCCATCCGCCTTTCTCTTTACGATCTATTGATCTTTTAGTAGATGCCCCTTGAGCTCGGCCAACCGTCCCTCTCCAAGTACTGGCTGAGAGTGGTTACCGGTGTAGTGTTATGCACATAATGGATCATATGAGGTGGATCCCGCCTATACACAATCTTAAAACGGGTGGTCTGTGGCGCAGTATGATATGACGTATTATACCAATATTCAGCCCAAACAATTCAACTAGCCCAAAACATCATTGTATCCGATACAAAACAACGCAGACATGTCTCCACGCTCCTGTTGACCACCTGTCTATCCATTGATCTGGGGATGATAAGTTGTGCTTCTCTTAAGGACTGCTTCTTGTAACTTGAACAACTCCTTCCAGAATTAATTGAGGAACACCTTATCTTTGTCTTATACCATAGATTCTGACACTCCGCACAAAAGGACCACTTCTTGTGTGAACATCATAGCGACTGAAATTGTTGTGTAGGGGTGACATAATGGAATAAAAGTTGTGTACTTGCTCAGGCAATCCACTGCCACTAAGATCACTGTAAACCCTTTAGATCATGGCAACCCCTCTATAAAATTCATTTCCACTTCTTCTCAAAGCTTCTTCGATAAAGCTAAGGGTTGCAACAATCCTCTTGGTACTTGTGTCGTTGGCACAAAACACACTTTGCCATCATATACTCTACGATTATGCGCATCCCCTCCAAATAAAGCTCTATTGATAGACGATTGTATGTATTCAATACCCCTAAGTGTCACCCAATTGCACTGTCGTCAAGCTCCTACAATAGTTTGGGGACATGCTCTGATGTCATCGACAACAAGAATTGCCCGTGGTAGAGTAGTTGTTGTCTCACCCCCTCAATGCATATCCTGGATGGCTGTTTAGATCCTATAGTAACACTGCCCGTATTTTCTTCAACCATTCATCATGCTCGCTCTCCTGCTCATGGCTTCCCAATTTAGGACCAATGGTACTAATAAGGCTATCAACTGGGGCTTCTCCACCTTTCTCGACAGTGCATATGCAGCTTTATTCTCCAATCTTGACCGATACTAACTCTCAAATTCATATCTCAGTAACTTGGATAGCCACTTATGATGCTCCTTGGTCATCATCCCCTGCTCCAAAAGATACTTCAAACTTCTCTGGCCTGTCCTGACAATAAAGTGTCATCCTAATTTGTAAAGCCGCCACTTTTGAAAGGCCAAGGCAATAATCTTCAATTCTCGCACGTACACTGACTTGAGCCTCGCCCTAGCTGTGATCACCTGGTCGAAGTAGGCAATCGATCGTTGGTCCTGCTCGAGTAATGTTCCCAATCCGTATCCTGAAGCATTTGTTTCTACCATAAATGGTCTACTGAAATTTGGAAGTGCTAATGCCTGTACGTTGGTCATGGCTCTCTTCGAATGTTCGAAGGCCTGTGGCGCTCTTCCCCCACTCAAAATTGTCTTTCTTTAGTTGCTTTGTGAGTGGTCATACTATTGTGTTGTACTCCTTCAAATCTTGGATGGGCTGGCTGCTACTCCTGCACCGGTCACCATGTGCCCTAAGAATTCCACCTGTAGCTATGAAAATATACATTTCTTCAAATTGGCGTGCAACTGGTGCTCCCTCAACGTCTTTAAGATTGGCTTCAAATGCCCCACAAGCCCTATCTCTGTACGATTGTAGATTAAAATGTTGTCGAAGAAGCCCAAGATGAATTTCCTGAGGCAAGGCTTAAAAACCACATTCATGAGGGAGTCGGGGCGTTATTGAGGCCAAACGACATTATCAGAAACTTCAAATGTCCTTCATGTGTAATAAATGTCGTCTTGCGTGCATCCGCTTGATTCAATCTGGTTTGTCTGTATCCAGACTTGAGATCGATTTTCAAGAAGATAACCGCCCCATAAAGCTCATCTAGCAACTCATCAATCACATGGATAGGAAACTAATCCAACACAATCTCCTTATTCAAAGCCCGGTAGTCGATCTGTCCATATCTCACAATTTCATCCTCATCGTCATCAAAAGTTGTTACAATAAAATTGAAGATATTATACCTATAAGTTTGGCATGATTCCTAGCGAGCGTCCTTTGTTATCCAACCATTGGTGCTCTGTATACAATATCTTGTGATAAATATTCATCATCAAAACACTAATTTCTTTTCAACATTTGACATCAAAATCCTCTCCAATCAGCAACACATGCTTATTTATAATCAATATCATTGCCAGCTATTTAATTAGTAACATTCTATATCACATTTTGAGTCTTGAGAGCTTTTTTTTTTCTTTGGTAGAAAGATGAGTCTTAAGAGCCTGATTTTACTTCACATAAACTACATTATCAATTTTTTTATGATCCAATATGCATCTAGGGAAGACATTTGGAGTCCATATGCATTTTCTCGTATTTAATACTTTAATATAAGTATCCCTTCAAATATTATGACTGTGTATAATTTTAAATCATAGAAGCAGGCACCTTATCCCCTAATTAACATTGTTTTTGCCTTGCACTACCGACAAAAAGAACATAAACACATTCTTCGA